TTTGATAGTCCCCTATCATTTTACCCCTCAGAACCAAAAAAACTTTATTTGAGGCTTGCCATATGTCATAACTTAAATGTTTTAGTTTTTCTGTCATTCTTTTATTTTACTTAAGCTGTGCCAGGATTCCTTGCAAAGGTACAAATTGAAAACTGTGGGGCTCATTAATAAGGCACATGTGTTGTTAGTTTCTGACATACAGATACTGACATTCCACCACTGTACCCTAAACCCCTGCTTTTTTACAAAAAATACAGAGGTTGCCCCTGCCTGATACATAAATGTCCTCTATCCTGACCCAATATTAGGGAACTATAGATGTGACTGTAGATTTAATATTTCTTTTTTCATTCAGACTGACTAAATAATTTTGTCAAAGCAGATTGGAGACATAAAAACAGCTGAGAAGTATTTTCAAGATGTGGAGAAAGTAACACAGAAATTGGATGGACTGCAGGGGAAAATCATGGTTTTAATGAACAGGTATGTATTTTAAAACTGAATATACACTGTCTCAGATTTCTGAAGAGTTTAAATGCCCCATAGCAGCAAAGCCCTGGAGACACTCTGTGCCGCCTCCTGCCCTGTATCTCTCAGAACTGAAGGTGAATGACCACAGACCCAGGAAGCACAGAGGTGTCTTGAGTTCCATTCATCTTTTAGTCAAAAAAAAACTGACTTTAAGGTTTTTCCATCTTGTTTTTCACAGTGCTGCTTATATTGCTCCCATTTTCACTATGAATTTGCAGCAGTGTTTACCATTCCTAGTGCACCAGACATCTCACTTCCTGTGTCCTGGGGTTGGGTGTCTGGCTTTATAAATGAGACAGTGTCTACAGGATGGGAGGCATGCTGTGGGTATGTGTGTACGATGAAGTGTGTGCACCGTGTAAAGCTCACACCACAACAGGATACAGCAGGTACCAGTTTTATAGCAGGAAATCAAGTTAGGTGAAGTTACGATGTCTAATAACAGATGTCTAAATAAAGCTTGAGTTAATATGCCAGGATGCGCACCTGGTTCAGTGTGAAGGGGCAGCCCCTCTGGAAGCCGTGAACACCAGCTGCTCATAGCGTGCCTGTCTGGGCTGAGGGGCGCCCTCGGCTTTGCTGGCACCTTTCAGACTGTGACCGCTTGGCATGTTGCTCATGTTCCAGAGCTTTCCTTCATCTTGGTCAGAATAACTTCGCAGAAGCCCACAGATTCTTCACAGAAATCTTAAGGATTGAGCCGACAAATGCAGTGGTAAGACAGCAGACATAAGGTCCGTCTGCAGCCCCTCCCAGCACATGGGCACCAGGCATTGCAGAGGGGGGAGGTGCCCAGCAGGGCCTGCGCACCCCCCCACACATACAGCACCCCACACGCTACCCCCGGAAGGCCACCATGCCCCACGCCATGCATGTCCCTCTTCCCTAGGCCAACAACAATTCGGCGGTGTGTCTGCTCTACCTGGGCAAACTCAAGGACTCCCTCCAGCAGCTGGAGGCCATGGTCCAGCAGGACCCCAGGCAGCCCCTGCACGAAAGCGTGCTCTTCAACCTGACCACCATGTACGAGCTGGAGTCCTCCCGCAGCGCGCAGAAAAAGCAGTCCCTGCTCGAGGCGGTCGCCGTCAAGGAAGGGGACAGCTTCAACACACAGTGCCTCAAGCTGGCCTAGGTCGCTCGCGTTCTGGGACCACCAGGGTCTTTGTCAGTGGTGCCTGTTGGAGCTCACAGGTCAGTGTGGCTGAAGGCTTCCCTAAACCCTTTTCACCGGTGTCTGGGATCGGGCCATCCGTATCGGGGGCCACGGCCAAGGCTGTGGCAGCTCGTTGAACTCCGGGCAGCTCACTCCCCCGCAGCTCTGCCTCCGCCTGTGAACACGGGAAACGCACCACAAGAAGGGCTCGGCAGAGAAAATCTGTAGGACACAAAGGAGCCCTTTTGTTCATTCCTGGAAGCTGACCTGCTTCATATATTACCCTGAATATCCTCAGAGAAAAGCTGAAAAATGTATATAAACCATTCTCAGTCTAGGCCTGAATGTTCTAGAGGCTTTATAAATAATGGAAGAGAAGTACAACACAGACTGCCATTCATCTTCCTCTCATGTTCCCATCACAAACCCTAAAAGTAAGTGCATCAGTTTTGCTCATCTAGCTCTTTGTCGGCCTATGCCGCACACCTTGGACAAGGCAGGTGCTGGGCGGGAGGTCGCCCCATCTCCCCTGGGAGCGGAACAGAGGGCCTCCTGGTACAGGAAGGCAAGGCAGATCCCTCAGAGCGGACAAGCAGGCGGACAAGACCGGCTCGAGCCAAATGCGTGTGTGTTTATGTTCTTCCCTGCCTCCACATCAGGGCATCTGCCCCAATGTTTACACAGTGCAGGGGAGGAAATGTTTTCCTCTAAATTTCTAGGTTCTTTGACTGGTCTACTAATCAATTGACATAATACAGATTAATAGAAGAAAAACAAATTAATTGCATACATACAGGGCCCCAGGAAAACAAGGCGGCAAATAGAGGTCTGTCTGCCATCCTGAGCTAAGGCATCGGGTCGGGAGCCTATGGCTTTAAAGGGGAGGACTCGCAACAGTAAGAAGAGCAGTTGCTCAGTAATTAGATGTTTGCTCTTCCACAGAAATGGGTCATCAGATAAAAGTCACCTCTAGTAATAGCTCATTCTCTTAACCAGCCCTCTGAGTAGATCTCTAGGTAGTTCAGAGAGGGAAAGGTCTTTCTCAAATCTGCCTGCACCCAGTACATGGATCAGTGCGAGCTGAAGGCACGGTGGCATGTTTCGGGGTCACGTACTCTCCTCTCAGCCCCACCTCTGAAACTCCCTACTAAGTCTCAGTCCAGAAGCAGTTCAGCTAAACAGTGTCTCATTTCAGGAGGTGGGGGTGCAGGCAGGCTCCCAAAGTCAGCAATCAGGTAAGAGGTAGTTCTGTGGAAACAAAAGAAAGGTTAAAGACGGGATCAGGTTGTGATACCAGGTTGACTTCTGGAGGCAGCCTGTCATGGGGAGTTCTTGATGTCCGGCTTGCAGCATCTTCAGCTGGGTGAGCGCGGCAGTGGCATGCAGACAGAGCACCCTGGTTTGCAGCACGAAGAACGTCCCTGGTGAGCTGTCCAAGCCCACATGGTAGTGGGCTTGAAGACGCCCCACCTGCACTGTTGTCATCTCTCCGGGGGTGATACCCAGTCACCCAGCTTTGGCATGCATGGCCTCAGAGGACAGGCAGCTTTGATCCTCAGTGATACCAAGCGGAGAGCAGGAGAAAACCAGGACTGTCATTTGGGAGAGTTGTGGCCTAAATGAGAGGAAACTAGAAGAACCCAGGGTCTAAGCTAGGAAGACCAGGTAGGAAACAAAGGCAGAGACAGCACTGGGCTCCGATGTGCGTGGAGGGGCTCCCTGAAACAGCTCTTCTCCCTCCGGTCACCTCCGTTCTCACCAGGGATGGCCACGGCAAGGCCGGCTCGTCTGCAGACCAAGTCCGGTCTCAGTGGACATCGGCTGACTGTTCACGTAAGTGCAGCATAGTGGCTGACCCTAAAGGCTCTTGTTAGGTCTGCTTTTCTAGACCTTTCTGTAAGAATCTCAGATTGAACTTTTTAAAAGTCTCTCAGGGATAAGTCACACCAAGGACTCGCCATCAGACTTTGCCTTCAATACCTGTAGATTTGGGTGAATTCTTTTTTCTCCAGGTCCCCATAATATTCTGAGGTTCTTAAGCCTGCCAGGAAGTGACCTCCTTACCCATCTGGTGAGGCTGCCAGGGACCCTGTGAGCAAGGTGCCAGGCTGATTTTTCCAGGACTTCACTGGCTTACAGTCACCCTTAGTTCCTCAGAGCTGTCTGGTCATCTGAGCATAGGCAGCCCTCCCTCTAAGAGGACATTCCAGTCAAAGCCTTGGATATAAGCTATGTTTCCAGTCGTGACCCCTTACAAGGAGAGTGGATTCTTATTAAACTTACACAAGTGATTATACTGCATGGAAATAATACACTAAGTTTCCAGATTCTGGAGGGATCAGGAAGGGAGAAAAAGTAATTGTTTCATCTTTGTTCACAAAGCTGTATGTTACCAAACAGTTGACAGCCTAAAGAGAAAAGGCTTCCTTAAATCTGGAAAAACAAAACATGAGAGAACCACTAGTGTTTCCAACCAAAGTCATAAAAACTGATGGTTGTCCTCAGCTCATTCAGTTTTGTGTAGTCAGTGCTTGTCCTGCCTGGATCCAGCTGTCTCTGGTTCTGAAAATTCCTGCCCAGCTCATCTGTGTCATTGTAAAGTCATTGGACACCTGCTCTTGTCAGTCTTCCCTTGAATCTCCTTGAAGGTGAGGCACCTTCACAAAGTATCAGAGTAACTGAATGATGGGGGCTGAGAATGCCCATTGCTCAAGATCTGTGAGTTCACTGTAATGGAATGAAAGCAATGTGTGTACTTCTGTGATACCTAATATCAGGGTAACAGCTGGAGTTAGGACTGGTACTGTTATACCGGGACACAGATCCAGGACTCTCAAACAGTTGGTAGAACCACTTCCATTAGTAATATTTACCCACACAATTGTTGATCTGTAAGCTCCTCAGGAGCTTCCAGGTGTGATTTGGAACCTACCCCCATAGGCAGAGGTCAGGGAGAGACAGAGAGAGAGGCAGGCCACTCCAGATGGGTAGGTGACAGGTTTAATAAGCAAGAGACCTTACATGTGAGGCTGGTCTTGGGTGGCTGCAAGATGAGATCTCTGTACCCACCCATGAGATCTTAGAAGGCTTTACAGAAGTCTTAACTGGGTTCAGTCACATGTGCCATCCAGGTAGTCTCAGCACCACATCTCTGTCTCAAGGCTGCGTCCTTGGGGATAGGGAAGGCAGGCAGAACCCACACTGTAAGGACGGGAAGGGGGTGAGGAGCCTCAGATACCTGTCTCCAGCTCAGGGCGGCAGCAGTCACGTGGCCTTGATGACTCTCCTCTGTAACAGCAGGCCAGGAAGGCTTATGGCCACGCCACAGTACTTCCCATTAGCATTCCCAGTAAGCCTGAGCAGTGTAACAGCTCTCCTTTTATAAGGAGAGAGAGCAAATCTTAGAGATGTTCAGGGCCCTCTGGAAATGCCCAAAATTAGTTTGAGGTCAATTCAGAATTTGATTGTGGGGAATTTGCCAAAAATACCCAAAGGTTTGGACACTAAGTAGAATCACATTATTATGAGACACAGCTAACCAAAGTAACGAAAAATTTTAAGGGCAAATACAAAAGGTTGCATGGCTGTGAGCAAAACCAGTCAAAGACCTAATAAAACAGAATTTTTGTTTTCCAGGCAGATTAAAGGGTCAAGAAACTTAACACAATTTGTTATCAAAAGAAGAAAGTCTAAGACAACTTTGTCCTTGTAAGAGAAAAAGCCAATTCTAATTTTGTACGAGCTTCCTTCTAATATTAAATTCACTTAAGTTTATTCTAATATTATCCAGTTTGATCACACATTAAAATTTCTAAAGATGCCTTTTCCACAAACCGACAATTTTTTTCCTCAACAGAATGCAACCCCATTCTTCAGACCTTTTATGGAAACACACCCTCCTTTTCCTTTTTAGAGATGTTTATTTCTAGTAGTTTCAATCACATAACACTTAATGCTTAGAAACCCTTAATTTCTATTGAAAGCTAAGAAGGCAGCCATTGTGACCTGTCACAGTGATCCTCAGACAAACTGGGGAGTCCTTTATGTAATTTCTAGGTACAAATTTTTTGATGTGGCACAAAAACACGTTTAGTAGTGGACCCAAATATCTTCTAGTTCCTCTGTTTATTATGTTCAGTAATGTTAATGTTCCAAATTTTTTCCTATTTGGAAATTATCTGGATAATTAAATGAATTTAACTCATTTAACTTAGCAAAACTTTAAGGTTCCAGGTTACTAAAAGATTTGCGGAAAACTATTTTAAAAGGATGCCTAAAAACTTTTCCCTACTTAGAACTAACGTACTTGTTCGTAACAATTATGTTAACATTAGTCATGAAAACTTCATGAGACATTAAAACAGCTAACCATCATCTTCAGTTGCCTTTCTTGAAGACAAATTCTGTAAGAGAGATAACATGAGCTTACTTGATGACAAACAGGTGGACTAAAAGTATTGTAGTTAATGCTGGTGACTCTAAAGACAAGCCTGTTTTAATTAACAACCTTAAACTAGCTTTTACTAAAGATGAATCTTAGGTCACATGAACTTAAAAAGCACTGGGTTAGTTATGTTCTTTAATTCATATAAGTGCTTGTTTGTTTTTAAACCAGTTAAACAGTTCTTGTACAAATTAATTTTAGAGCTACAAAAATGCACATATCCAACATCATGCAGCACACGTACACTCCAGATGCACGTGGGCACACAGATGGCAACAGGACCTTGCAGTTACTAACACTGGTGATCCCTCATTTGCCCAATTTCCAAAGACTTCCTCCCTCCCCTGCCCCCTCCTAAGGAGAAACTTCTCCCTAAGTTTTGTGTTTCAACGAATGCCTCTTAGAACCTAGAGAAGATGGGCGTAGAAAATCTACCCACAAAGGCACAGAGAAAGTGTCTAAGTTCCTCCAAGGGGTTTTTGGAGGCATGCTTGCCTATTAGCAGAAATCTAGAGTGATCACTATTTCAATTTTTTTTTTCTTAGTACAGAACAGTCCTGTTCCCAGTATCCTAATTGGTCTTTTAGAGTAAGTATCTGTAAGCATTTTGAGATGAGTCAGTAAGTCTGGGGATTGCTAAAGATGGGTAGTATTTGACTTGCTTCTAGAGCCAATTTCTGGTTTTGTAGAGGTTTTCAGGACAAAGATAGTTATTTCCAGTTCCCAGAGAACTGGATTGCAGCCTGGACAAGAGGCTGACCCACCCATCCGACTAAATCATCCGCAACTTGCGTCTTTCCCTCTGGGTAGTTCCATTTAGCTTAGAGAAGGCCTGAAACAATCCTCTCGGGCTCTGAGTGTCAGCCGTGGTCACAAACTCAGACCTGTGGCCTCCTATCTTTCCGCCTTTTCACCTGCTCAACTAGTCTTGGGAGTTAATCCATTTACAAAATCTTTGGAGGACCCTCCGGGTTCAGGGAAATCTCTGGTTATAGCCCTTAGTTCAGCCTTCGATCCAGGAGTGAAAAATACCTGGAGAGGATCACCTATGGCCTCCTGTGGTCTTACTTTAAAAGGGGACAGTTCAGGAGCCTTTTTGGAGGGAAAGGCAGCTGGGGACGGGCTCCCTGGACCGAGGACTCAAGGCAGGGGAGGCAGTGCTGGAGTTAAGTCGGTCTGGCAGTCTGTGGTTTTAGTACTCTTACATCTTTTTCATTAGCCTCTTACAACAAATCTTTCAGTAGAGCTGTTCTGGACCTTCGGAGGCTTCTGCACACCAGTTGATTAGGCAGCCCAGTTCTGTTTGATCTGGAAGTGTACTTCTTACGTGAGTCTTTTCTGATTGGAACAGTCCTCAGAACAGCTGTTGTAACTCCACCAGGGGCGGGCAGCTGGTAGGACCTTAGCCGCAAATGGAGTTTAACCCGCATTTCTGTCCTGCCATATTCTGGGGCCCTAACCTGACAGTTACCAAGCAAAGTTCTCAGGACACGAAACAAGCTTAGTAAGATTTTTACCATTTCTGTAGATATGTACAGTTTCCAGCACCATAGTTCTTAGACATAAAATAAGCAGGTTTGCCAGAAAGAGGTGAAGTAGTGCATTTAACTCTGGATTTTTCAGAAGGGAACTTATGTCGGATGAAGAGTTGAGTTTCTGTTCTTTGATTTTGTTCTGGGCGCCCCTAGGGCGAGCCATGGTACCTCTTTGTAGCTACTTTTTAATTGGGTCTTTCCGAAGGTACCAATGAGACAATAAATAGTTTAGAATGAGAACTCTCTAAAAAAATTTTTTCTCTCATATAGCCAATTCAAAGGGTCTATTGTCTGGCCTTTGACAAATAGAATCTTACTGATCTCAACTGGATTCACACCCATAAGCCTTTTAGGGCTTAACCATGAACAAAAGAGAGCAGGAAATGCAGCCCTCGTGAGATCCAGGGTGCTCACCCCAAAAGGCGTCCAGAAAAGCAGCGGCAGTAAGGCTGGTGCGATACAAACAGCGGCTCCCAGTCTCCCGGGATGACGAGAGATGCCTCCAGCCTTGCCCCACTGACCTGTGACGGCTGCAGGCGCTGCTGGAACGGCGCTGGCAGCTTCAGGGCAGGGACTGGGTGGCGGCTTGCAGGGACCTCCTTGCTCTCAAGTTTTCCTAAGGCTGGCAGGGGACCTGGCAACACTCAAACCCGTCCGGTGACCAGCTTACCCTAGATTCTGGTGAGGCGGCAAGCACTCTCACAGGTCTCGGGTGGTCGGCCACGCCCACCGGCCCTGGGGCTCAGGCTTCCAAGGTGCCCTCAGCAGCAGCCTTGACCCCCTGCGCACGTTCACCCACCGCAAACCTCGTCCACACAGACGCCATTCTGGTGGGAAGCATGAACTCAGTCTGTGAGGTCAGCCTCGGCCCACGTCCCCCCTGTGTGGTCTCCCTCCTCAGGACAAATGATGCGATAGACAGAACAGAGGCACACAGACCAGTGAACACTGGGAGTCCCGTCTCGGGCCCTTTCCGGTCTGCCCCAGGGACCGGGTCCGCAGAGCTTTCTGCTGCTCTCAATTCAGAAAAGGAAGGAAGATCGCCCTCGCATGTCCCCAGACCCGGCCCTGTGGGCCCCCGGGGCTCACCTGCTGCAGCCTTGGGGAGCAGTGGCCGGCCAGATCGCGGACTTGCCGGCTGGAGGGGAGGAAGTGCTTGAGATTCCTAGGTCCAAACACCAAATTACAGGAGTTGGGGCCCCATAAGAACATGACACCCAAGGACAAACTGGAAAACTGAGGCTTACCTGCCATCCTGGGATAAGGAATGGGATTAGGGGCCTCGGGCTTCAAAGAGGAGGAGGCCTCACGGGACCGGAAGACGAGTGAGACGTCCAACCTGCCGTGTGGATGGGTCACTCAGGGACAGTCCCTAGTAAGAGCTCTGAGCCAGGCCCCCTAAGTTCCCTCAGGTAGTTAAGGGGCGGGCGAATGTTCTTCTTGAACATGCTGGGTCTCGACTGACTTCAGCTCAGAATAACCCCGTGTGCCAAAGCAGCATGTTTTGGGGCCACATTCCTCCTCTCGGCAGTCAGCCCTGCTTTTAAAACACCTGAAGAACCTGAAATTTGACTCACTTTACTAAAGAACTAGCAAGAGTCCTTTAAATGCCCAGCTCTTCCGGTGCATTTTAAGGTCCGATACACTTTAGAGACTGCGATGTCCACGTGTGCTGTGCACACACATACAGCACCTACCAGAGACACAGTCTCAACGCATTGGTTGAAATACAAGTTAATGACGCATGAGAACACGAGAGGCGAGGCAGCCGGCCGTGCACACCAAGGCCTTAGAGCATTGACCTTCATGGAGAGAATAAGCCTGTAACAGCATTTGAATCCCTTCACCTGGAAGGTTCCCTGCTAGTGTGGCCTTGGGGCTGAGGGGCTCCTCCCTGGAACCCGGCAGGAGGCAGTGGAGGCAGCAGGCCAGGTGAGTGACTGGGGGCCTGTCTGCCCACAAGGGGGGTATAGGGGCGGTGGGGGCTGCACGGCTCCCACCAAACAAGCTGCACCAATTGGAAACAGGGTTCGAGGTTCCCCAGCAAACCAGTATTTGTGCCCCAAGGTCCCCATTCCCAAGGGCAACACCCCCCCACCCCGGTGGGGTGCTCAGGGCCACAGCGGGTTGTGTGCTCCAGGCAGCAGAAAGGCCCCGGGCTCTGCTGGGAAACCATCCCCTCCCTCCCCCAAGTTCATGCAGGTAGGTAGGTGGCTCCTCCAGGCCCTGCCAGAGCGCGTGCCTCAGCCCCAGCATGGGCTTCGAGTGTCCACGGTGTGCTCCAGGCCCAGTGACCTCTGAGCCTTCCAAGCCAGTGTGATGTGTGGGTAGCCACCTCAAATAGGACTCTGTGCACAGGTGTCCCCAGTCAGTGAGCGGCACAGTGGAGCCTGAGCCAGCTCACCTCCGTCTCCCGGGCAGTTGCAAGGCGTTGTCCCCTGTCCTCCAGGGGCGATGGGTGCTGAGCAGGAGGCTGGCACAACCCTGGGGAGGCACCCAAAGGAGAGCTGGGAAAGAACGCCCATGGAGGGCATGAGTGCGGGTGTTGGGTGGCCCCACACAGGCAGTAGGAAGACGGGCCAGCCCACTGCTGCGGAGGAGACAGGCCGGGGCGGAATCAGTAGGACAAGGCTGCAGCCAGGCCAGGGGGCTGGCCTAGGGGGTGCCATCCACCACGGAAGGACCCCTGACACTGGGGAGTGGCAGGGACAAGGCAGAGGTTGGCCGAGTGCCCACCAGGCCGGGAAGGATGTGCAGGCTGCCTCCTGTGTGGCCCTGCAAGGCTCTGCCACCCAGGCCCTGGGGCTGCCCCAGCAGGGTGACCTCGGGCCTCACCGAAAAGTGAAACAAGCTGCCAGAGCGCATTCTTCTGCCTGCCGGGGCCAGGACTGACATGGGACCACCCAGCCCCGGGTGACTCGCTGGGACCCCGACCTACTCACACAGACCCTGCTTGCAGGTGAGACCCTGCTTCCAGAGCCCAGCTGGCACGGTGTTGGTGATCACCACCTAATCCCACACCTGCCAGGCAGCACGGCGGATCCGCGGCAGATGTTTCCAATACCAGAAAAACACCTGCCGTGCTTCCCGCATTCCGAGAGCCTCGTGGGCTCGTGCTCCCCTCAGCCCTGCTCCCTGCACAGATGAGGTATCTGAGGCACAGAGGGCCTGAGTCATCTTCCCGGGGCTGCACAGCGACCCTGGGGCATCGCCTCACAGCGGGACCCAGCCCAGCGCTCCTCCCTGGGACGGCTGCTGCTGTTCCCCTGTCCCTTCAGCCCCGGAGCCCCCAGGGCTAATGACCGCTGGAGCGGGCCTGAGAGCACGCGGGCGGGGAGCAAAGCATTGATGTCACTGATCTGCCCTCGGCCAGGCTGTCGTCTGTCGGATGAGATTCTGTTTGGGTTCTAGAGCAGCCGATTTGGGGGATGTTTCAAAATGAGCACAAGCATTTTAACACAGGAAATAAAAGACCTGAAATACAATGACAAGGAAGGCAGATGAGGGGGGTCTCTGTGGTGTCCCCTGTCCTTAGGAAGCACACTCCTTCCAGAAGAGTGGGGCCAGCGCCGCTGGGCACACAGGCCTGAGCACTCGTGTGAGACCTGCAGCCCCACCAGCCCGGGGCCTCCCGCCCACATGGGTGGCTTCCCTGACGCCTTTACTTGGCTGCCCTGAGAAGTCAGTTCCTAAGGCGGAGGGAGCACCGCGAGCAGGACCCAGAAATTCAGAGACGAGGTGCCAGCCTCCGGGAAGCTGCTGAACTCTGCGGCTGAGCAGGGCCCGGCTGCAGGCCGCCTCCCCGTGCCCATCTGCGTCCCTCCTCGGGGCCCACCCAGCTCATGGCCGGGTCACATCCTTGTCCGGGCTGGCCTGTGATTGAACGGAGCTGTGCCCAGCTGGGCAGCCTGGGGGCAGGCGGGGGAGGGCTGGTGTTCTCAGCCCACAGAGACCTTCTGTGGCTGGTTTCCACCTCAGTGGGGTGGGCCCTGGGTGTGTCCCCTGTTCCTGTGAAGCCCTGTTCCCCCTGGGATAGTCAGAGCGGGTCTCTGGGGGGCCCAGGGACAGGTGGGGGCCCAGGCTGGGATGAGTCTGTAAGGGGATGCCAGAGCTCACTGTCCACCTCCACGTGTGGCCATGGGAAGGCGGCCGTCTGCAGCCCTACAAGGGCCCCCCAACCTCAGGCTGGCAGCCTCCTGCAAAGTGCGGAAACTGAAGTGCCCCCACACTCCTGAGGTGTCCAGCTGGTGCAGTGCAGGGCCCAGCCCCGGCAGCAGCCCCAGGGACAAGGAGGGGGCGAGTGCACCGAGCGGCCAGTCCTTCCCCCAGTGGGAGCCACCAGAGGCTAAGCGGCACTGCGGTCTGCCTGCTTTGGAGGTGACCCACATTAAACCTATCTGCACCTCCCGCCATCTGCCCCAGGGGTGCCCCGACCTCCCTGCAGATAAGGCATGCACCCCTCCAGCCTGTCAGGAAGCCAGCGTTCCCCTTGCTGGTGGGAGGTATTCTCAAGCCCGGAGAGCCGGGCTCCTCGAGCAAAGCAGCGGAGAGGCGGTTTCCCTTCTCTGGCTGAAGCTAAAGTGCCCCACCCCGCTGTCCAGAGCCGCCCCTGGAGCTGAATTCCAAGCTGTGGCTGGGCCAGCAGGACTTCCCAGCTCCTGGGCAGGAGCCACGGGCAAAGCACCCAGGAACCTTGGGCGGCCGTGCAGCCACCCCGGTTCCAGGTGCCCCTGTTCCCCTCATCCCAGCTTCTGCCCCCATGTGGTCACATGGGACGCTTGGGGACCAGAGCTGGGCAGAGGTAGTCACCCCCCAGGTGCTGGGACACCACATCCACTGTGAGGAGAGGACTTATTTGCAAGAAAAAATAAAGCCAACTTGCAGAGGTGAGGACCGGAAGCAGAGGGTGACCCTGGCTCGTGCACGGCCTGTCACCTCAAGGGCCTCCAGGGAGGAGGGAGCCTTCACAGTGGACTTCTGTCCTTGCAACAAAGCCCCAACTAAGGCAGCAGACGAGGTCATGCCCTAAGCATTTCAGAGCCTGGGCCCTGGGACAGGATGGGACCAAGCATTCAGGCTTAGCCTCAGGAAGGTGCCACTGTGCCCAACCCTGTCCACATGGGGTACCTGCAGGGCACCTACTAGGGTGCTCGCTGCACACGGCCGGCTCTGCACGGGAGCCTGTCACTGCTCACGGTGCCCCCGCTCCCCTGCCTCCTGCGTCTGTCAAGCAGCTATTTCTCTGTGGGTTTGATTGCCGTCATTTCTATTTCTCAAAATTCTTGACCCTGATAAGCACCTTTCTGGGTGGAGGGGGAGCAGTTAGGGGGAGGGGTTCATCCTTAATCTGTCCATTAGGCATGCTGTGTAGTGGTTACTTCCAAAGCTGGTGACTTAAAGCAACATTCAGGCAATAAATTTATCATCACCTGCAGCTTCTGAGTCAGGAACCCGAGTGCTTAGCTGCGTGGTGCTGGGTCCCCTGCGGACCACGGGCTGTGTCTGAAGGCTTCACCCGGCCAGCTGCTGCTTCCCAGAGGGCGCCTCCTGCTGCGAGCGAGGCTGCAGCCAGAGCTTCCTGGCGTGGCAGGGCCCCCCACCCAACCGTCTGGGAACCTTGCCTTCCAGGCCTGTTGACCTCACTCAAGCCTCTTCTGCCCCTTACCCGTCAGAAATGCGCCCTGTAGACCGGCCCAGCCCTGGAGAACTGGGCTCACCCTTTTGAGGGTGAGAGAGTCCACGAACTTGCACATCTATTTTTAAAACCATTACCCTTAAGACCTCTTTCTTGTCATTTCCCTGGAAATGGAACCAAGTCTCCCCTTGGATCCGGTTTCCTATCATGCGCTCATCTTAACATGTATCTCCCAGAGGGAGGCGCGCCCCGGCGCTCCCGGGAATCCCTCCGGGTCTCCATCAGATGCTTTGAGAAGCAGGGAGAAAACTGCAGCCCTGCCCCGGGAGACCTCGCGGCCGCGGGGATGTGTGCAGACCTGCCAACAGCCCAGAGGCAGCTGGGCAGGGGGCACCCAGGAAGCTTCCGTGTGCCCGGGCGCAGCCGGAGCCTCCGGGAGAGGGACGCCGCCTGACTACACGCAGCGTCCACAGGCCGCTCTCGGCGCTGACCTCACCCACAGGACCCCGCCGCCCCGAGCTCGCCCGCGGAGGTCTGTCTGCCCCAGCTGGAGCGCGCCCCCCAGAGGCCCTCAGAAGCGCACGCACGCACCTGTCACACCGCCCCGAGAGCAGAGCCTGGGAAGGTCCGCTGGGCCTGCAGGCTGGTCCGCCCACTCCCTGCTCCCCGCGGAGTCCCTCCCAGGCCCGCGGGGCTGGGGCCGACCCAAGGACAGGCCGCGCCTGTGGCCCTGCGGCTCCCTTCTTTCTTTGCCCGTTTGGTGACTTGGCCGAGCCAGGCCCGGGACAGCAGGGCCTCTGGCTGACAGCAGCGGCGCTGGCGGGCAAGGCTGCCCTCTCGGCCCTCCCGACGCACACGCCCCGGCTGTGTTCCTGAGGCCAGAGCTCCCTTAACAAAGCTCTTGCCGATCCAGGCCCGGCCCGTGCTGGGGACAGCTCGGTTTGGGACTGCGTGTGCTCTGTGGCCTCTCTGCAGTAACTGCCGCATCAGCCCGTGTTGTGCTGTGACCCGCATGCACACACTACAGGTCTCAGCTATATTTTCTCTCCACACAGGCTCCTGAAGGACACCTGCTAAGCCTTTGTGAAGCTCAAGACGTGCAGTCCCTTCCCTTTTTATCCCAGCACTTACCACAAGCCGAGCACACAGCAGGCAACTATTTTAAAAACATGGGGTAAGTTGAGAAGTGTCATCTTTATTTATCGGGGAAGGAGGAGGGCAGGCTCGGGGGTGGGCGGGGCCGGCGTCCCTGGCTGGGCTGGTGGGTGGCGGCCTCAGCAGCGCCCATTACCTGGAACCTTCCCAGATGGCAAGGGTCCGCCCACTGACCGTCCGCACCAGCAGGCGGCGGGCCCCCACGTGGGATTGAGGAAGGTCGTGGAATTAGGCACACGTGCATCTCAGCCGTGCACGTACCCTCGACGTCCAGGCCACTGACTTCCAGGGAGCAGGGCAGCGGGGCCCCAGCGCCCACAGCCTGGGGTCTCAGGACGGCCCTGGCTGAGACACCAAACAGCCAGTGTCACTTGTCCTGCACTGTTCTGTCCCTTGTCACGTTCTAAGGCGAGGCGCGGTCCCACCCTCTCCGCCCCGGCTGCAGCACCCCGGCTACTGAGAGGTGCTGAGGCTACTCCCCGTTTCCAGCCCCCGGCGCTGCGACAGCCCAAGCACATCATTTCCCCTTTTGGTCTTGAAATTTTAGAATGATGGATGTTTTTGTGTGCTTAACTTTTCATGAGGTAGTCCATAAAATTACTTGAGGTTTCTAGAAACTTCTACATGATATATTTTCAAAAACAAAACCCAGCTTTTAAAGACTAGTTTCAGATCACAGGTGAATTTAACTTTCTGAATCCATGCGACTAGAACCAGATTCCTGCCTGGCGATTATCCAGACTCCCCGTAGCGAAGCCCCTCCACCGGCCTCGTATCCACTACAGTGAATGCCTTCAGCGGATTTCCCGATGCACAGCCTCCCAGAGACCCCCCGCTCTGCGGAGCATCAGGCCCCATGTAGGCCAAGAGCTTCAGTTCAGTCCTCAAAGCCCCCTGTGGAATTGAGCGTCTGGGGCTGCAGACCCCGCTACGTAATGAGGAAGAACAAGATGACCTCCTCCCAGAGACCACATGTCCCGAAGAGGCCCCACCCCACAGCGACGGCCTTCACCCAGTGGCCCTCCACCCCGGCCGCACCCAGCTCCCTGGAAACTCGCAGGACTGGCCCTGAGGGGCAGAGGGGTGCGCACACCCGTGCACCCATTTCCCCAAACTCAGAAATAAAACCATTCATTGGCAACGGGGTTGATTTTCTGCAAATAACGAAGTGAGCAGCCCATGTTTGCACGTCTGCCGTTACATTTTCTACCCCCTCGAACAAGAGCCACCTCCGCTCAGGGCTCCTCCCTGCAAGGAAGCTGAAAGCTGTGCGGGGCCCAGCAGCGCTGCTGTCAGAAAGGGAGAGGAGCCACGGGGAGGAGGGGCGGCCTGTGAGCCAGGCTGGGGGTGCACTCGGACACCGCAGCGCCCTGGAGGGGGACGCAGCCAGCGTGAAGCCCCCAGAGAGGATCTGAGTTGTAACAGAAGCCCCAGGAGACCAAGCACGCTGTTCGATGTGACAAAGCGACCCACTCGTTCTGGTAAGATCAGTATCGCACATTTTTATATGTTAAAGCACTATTTTGTGGCAAGAATTAAATCTAGTAGCCATATTTTTCTAACGAAAACTGGGAGATCCGTGCCTGTTCACATGTGGCCAGAGGACAAGCCCTGAGAAGCCGGGCCGAGCCGGGCCGTGCAGCAGAGTGACCACCCCACCTTTAGGGCCGCCTTTCCCCATGCGGACACCCGGGGTCTGTGGGAGCACGCGCGCAGAATCACAGCTGATGGTGGATGAGAACTCTATTTGAAGGGCAGGAAGAGTAAAACACACGCAGCTCTGCGGTTTCTAGCTGGGCACCCACTGAAGCATACGGCGTGGCCGCTTCCCAGGGCAGGAGAGGGCGTCCTGGGCGAAAGACAAGGACAGACGGGCGGCAAGAAGGGGCCAGAAGGCAGTGGAGACGGCCCCTCTCACTCGGGAAACGTGGACAGAGCCCGCAGGTGACCCGCCCCAGGAGAGCAGGGGTCTCCGAGGCCAACTCACAGGGCAAGCGCCCGGGCTGCGTTGCTGTCACTGGGGGAGTGTTTCCCTCAGACACACTGAGGCTGGCACCTGCCCAGGTCTCCACACCTGCCTCCATCAGGAGGATGCAGGGCCCGGACGCGTGGGCCCCTCCCAGCCGTGGCACGGCCATGCATCCCTGCAGGAGCAAACACAGAACGGAATCCTCTCTAAATGCCAGCGTGTCACCCGGCGTGCAGCTGCGCCCGAGCACAGCGACTGCATCCTGACAGATGGCCCGGCCACGGGACACCACTGCACAGGCGCCCCGTGCCTTCAAGGAGAGGACGGGTGGCCTCCTCCCATGAGCAGGCAGACTCCCCTCAATCAGGGGGCGCAGAGCCAAACGGAGGAAACCAAGCTGTGCTGGGGGGAGACCAGCCTTTGTGTTCCCGCGGGGACTGTCTGCACCCGGAACCCAGTGATACCTTTGCCAGCGACCTGTCCCTGACACCCGGCTTGATGAGGGCCTGCCGAGGAGGTGGCCCAGGTCCTCTCCTCCTCACTCCTATCATTCTGCTGAGTCCAGGGTCAAGGGGACAGAAGCGGGGCGATGCACGGGGGCCCGCAATGCGTGTCACCACGTGGTCCGTGTGCGTTTTAATCTCAGCAGTCAGAGTTCACCAGGGCATCCGTGGCTTGGGTTTCCTCTGTGCAAAGGAGACCCGTTCCCAAGACCAACGTGGGGTATGGAGGATGAACTTTAATGTGAAAAGTTTCAATCTGGTTTAAAAACACTTCAGACAACCTACCCTTCAGGGGTAAAAATCTGGTTTAAAAAACACTTAAAAGACAATCTGCAAAACAGATTGATTTGGGGTTTTTCTATGATCATAAGAAATTAGGCATAGTTTTGTTTCAGAATTGATAAGTAAAACAATAATGTCCCAGTTTCTTGTTAACAACGGGAACACAAGCTCTTCTGCCATCATTGTGTTCAGGACGTTCTCAAGGGGCAAAGGGGTGTGAGGCCCAGGAGCCGCGCTACGCCATCTGCGCCAAAAATCCCATGTACTGCGCCCGAGCCTCGAGGTGGTCAGCTGGCCGGTTGTACGCCGTCCACACCGGTTCTCCCACAAACAGCCGCATGGCCTTCACGTAGTTCTAGAAAACACACAGACAGGCCCGCCACGTCAGACCTCAGCGTCTCAGCCCAGTTACATTCTGTCCCTGGAAGCCATGCCCAGGATGGTGCACGGCCCCTGCTCACGCAGCAGGAACATCTGCAGCTGGTCCGCGCCCACCCCGCTCTCCCTGTGCCTCCCCGCCCGTCCTTGCTGCCCCCCCGTGACGTGCCCCCAGGAATCAGCAGGCCCTCTGGACACTGCTGACAGGGAGGACATTCCAGTCATCGAATTAGTAACATGCACTGCCTCTTAATCCAGTTTTCACTTTTAGGAATTCATCCTATAATCACCGGTGCAAATGACAAATGTGTAAGGTCACTCACTACAGCACCATTCACAATAGCAAAATACTAGAAATGTACATGCCCATGATTAGGGACCATGCATTCAATGGGGTGACTCAGTGCCTGGCTACATGAGGTCCGCCCAGCAGGGGGTGCCAGGCAGCGGTAGATGAGGAAGACTATTTGCCTTGACAGATATGAAATGACCCCCAAAGCATATCGAGGGAGAAAAGGAAAATGCAGAACCTTGTATAGCTCAGCTCCCTCCATGTAAAAAGGATAGAAAGATCACTGGCTCACACTCACCTGGGAATGTGTGATGTCTCTCGAAAGGTTTTTAAAAATGTAATACTGGGTACTTTTAGGAAGAGAAACTGGGGGGCTGGGGAACAGGGGTAAGAGGGAGATTTCATTGCACACCCTTTCCAAATTCTGAATAGAGCCTATGCATTGACTTTCTACTCAAAAATTACACTTCAGTCTCAGGTTCCGTCCATACCACCCCAGAGACCCCACGAACTGCCTGATCATGTCTCACTGCAGGTCCTAATGCCGGCAGTGCACGGTGTGGGGTTCTGAACACCCGCGAGCCTACCTTCTCATCCAGAGTGAAGCGGTGATAAATCCCTGCAGGGAGAGTTATCATGTCTCCTTTTTCCATGAAGATCCGGATCCAGTTGTCTTCTTGATCTCTCACATCGAAGTACCCACTGCCGTCCAGGATGTAGCGGATCTCATCGTCCAGGTGTAAATGCTCCTCATAAAACATCTTAATCTAGAGCAGGAGGTAAATTCTGTAAGTCTACCTGAGGCCAGCCGTGCAAACTGGACAGACCCGGCCACCTGCCCAGCCTTCAAAGGCCAGAACTGAGGTGGACAGAAATCCTCAGCGTAAAAACAGGAGATAGGTTAAGGAGGAAGGCGGTGGGGCTAGAATATTGTATGAAACCTGTCAATGAACTAGAAGTCAGAGTGGACACTAAATAGCACTTACATGTGCCAAACAACATTCTCAATAGTGCACATATAATAAACTCACTGGGTGCTGTTATCCCCGTATGACAGACGAGGGAAAGTGGCACAGAGAGGCTAGGCTGCTGGCCCAACATCACACAGCTTGGATGTGTAGTGATAAGATTCCCACACAGACAACTGGGCTTCTGCCCATAACCTGCCATACACAGCAGCCACGCCAATCAAATGCACACATAGTCACACGGATCACACAAGGTCATAAGCCATGGGTACATCTGAGGAAGGCAGTCACCAACTCAATAATGAGCATGTCCCATGTGTTCAAATCTACTTCGTGTCTTCCAGGTCTTTATCCCCCTAACGTTTTATAATATAAGGATTCAAATACACAGGCAAGTTGAGTTTTACAGTAAATCACACATACCTTTCACCAGACTGTCATGAAAATTCCGCTCTGCACTGAGAATATTCCCTATGCAGCATTTTAAGGCTTCCCTCAATGTTCACACATTCTGGGGAGTCCACAAGTGTTTGGAAAACCACCAGTTTCAAAAGGAGGGCAGCACATTAACACCTCATGGACACCGTTTCCTTCCCAGGGCGCCAAACTTTGAAAGCCGGGTGCCATGCCGCAGCCCCGAGGAGGGGCACCGGGTGCTGTGCAGGGGGCGATGTGCACCTCCCCCCACACTGGCCATCCCCTCCCGGGAATTCACACCTCCAACAACATGAAGGTAAATATGCACAGCTCACCCTTTGTGCCACTGTTGGGAGCATGAAGCACTGGGAACCCCTCAGATGCTCACACAGGACAGCGGTGGGGACACTGCCGTGACGATCAGAAACCGAGAGAAGTGGTCGTTAGACAGGAGGTGGTGGGCGCGGGATGGAAAAGGCAGGGGAGGTCAGTGTGACTTCTGATTTCAGAACCTTGTTATGTTTTATATAATCATAGAACTAAAACAAACTTGGGGAAAAACCTTGAATCCAAAATCAGGCAGTATGCTCGCAGCCACACAGATGGAAAAGAACACGAGGTAATGTTTGAAGCCGGTGCTCTGGGAACACCCTCAGCCGGAGACACAGGGAGCCCGCAGGCACGCGGACTCCGCCTGCCGGGGCACCACAGGCACAGTGGGCACAGCAGCTGCGCCGAGGGCTCAGAGGACCGGCATGGGCAGGCCGTGGCTGGGCGCCAGTTCTCCCCGGAGGGGAGGCAAGAACGGGAGGGGCGGCGAGGAGAAGCCCCGTGCCGCTGGTGGGATCGGACTCGGTTTGAACCAGGGCTGTCTCCCGCAGACACACAGCTTTCTCCTCCTGTTCGCTCAAAGGACCTCGTGCAATGACCCCCGAGCAGCAGCGGGCTGCCCAGCACTGCTGTGTGGGTTTCTGGGTGCCAGTGACAGGCAGTGGGAGGACTGGAAAGCGGATGAACCTGGAACACATCGGTCCAGAGTGTAGAGAGGCACCCAGAACACGACGGGACGTGTGACGGGGCCAGGGGCCAGGTGCAGAGGCCCCTCCTTGCCATTGGGGACGATGTCAGCGTCAAGATGAGTCAGGGGAGGAATGGATCACAGACCACCGAGTAAAAGCCCACACGTCCGCACTTGTAGATAAACAGGAGAGGGTGGCCCCCAGCCCCCTGTTCACTACAGGAAGCGGACAGAAGATCACATGACTGACCAGGCTGGAGTCACCTCTTACTAGAAACACTGAGCGCCATGACGGGCAACGGCATCGCCACAGCCGCACGCCTGACGACTTGCAGAGGAAGAAAACAGAAGCTGCAGGGTGAGGAAGCCGCGGGCACAGCCTCCCACGAGGGGTGCCGCGCAGACAGGGTGCTGCTGGCGTAGGATTTCTGCCCAAACGTGTCACCTGAACCCAACCATGAGGAAACCTGAGACACACAGAAGATAATCAGATAGAAGGAGGTTGTTCTACAAAACAAGAGAGATAAGCCTGTGTCAGGGCGAGGGTTTTATTCCAGGGAGAAGGTGTTCTAGTGTCCCTGACCACGCTAGAGCCACGGGAGCCCATCCATGTTAAAGCTCTGGAGGAAGGCCATCCACATGCCAGGCTGGCACCCCCTGAAATCCGGGAGAAGCCTGCCAAGCAGTGTGATTTGGTGAGGCGTGTGCGTGTCTAAAATATTTGTTCTCTGACCAGCAAGAGCAATTTGCTATAGAGCAAAGCTGAGAGATAAAAACCACACCACACACCTACCTTTAACCAACTACCATGTTACTACACTACTTTTGTTCTTAGTTCAATTTGGTGGCATTCATACACCTGCTTACAGCCTGTCTTTTAGAAACACACAGAAGACGTCTGAGCAGACAGAGGAACAGCCCGGGTGGAGGGGTCCTCACGGCGGGCCCGGCAGCAGGGGCCTGGCTTCACCAACATGGCCTCAGTGAGTGGTGCCCACCTGCTGCAGGTTCCCGAGGACACAGGTGGGCGGTCCAAGGCAGGGCTCAGGGTGGCCCAGCAAGACGCAGGAGGAGCACGGGGACAACACAGTTACCGAGCTTTGTCAAGAAAGAAAGAGAACTCTCAAACAACTACTCTGGTCACTCTCATTTCCTAAGAGAGTCATTTTATTCTCAAGAACGTAAAGACAGCAGTCCTGAAGACAGGGCAGCACTTTAAACTGAGCACATCTAAGCCCCACTGAGAACTCCCTGCCCTTCACATCTTCTCTCCCGTTGGGCCACAGAGCAGGTACAGCCTTGTCTAATTCAGGGGTGGCTGGGACTCACCCTACAACTAAGAACTTAAAAAACCCTGACTTGCACTTCCCGTGGGGTGGCAGAAACTGAACCCCTCTTCCCTCCTCCAACAATCAGAACAGGAAGAATACATGAAATAACTGTGTAAGGCACAGACATCAGGAAATGGGAGGAAAGCGACCCTTGAGATGGAACAAGGGAGGGGAGCCCTGCGCCAGCCTGAGCGTACCGCCTGGGAAGACCTCAGGCTGCGGTGCAGGGAGGGGAGCTAAGGCAGAGTGCAAGACACAGGCCCCGGAGCTCCCTGGGGAATCCCCAGGGCCTGCAGAGGACCCCCTCCAGGAATCCTGAGCGCTGATGGGCACAGGCACCCATGTAGGAAGCCTACCCGACGCTGGGGAGAAGAACACTGGATTCTTCAGGTCTCGAGGTCCCAGTGCCCGACCCCACACAGGCCCAGGAGGAGTGCCTGTCCCACCAACCAGACCGCAGACCCTCACGGTTCAGGGGCTTTGTGTGGCACATATATGTGAATCATGCCCTAGCAGGGGGACAGCCAGCTGCACACTGAGCCCTCTGGTCTGCCTGACGAATCTTAAAAGAGAGACCCAAAGGGATCAAACTGCTTCCAGCAGACGATGTGCCGTCCAGAACAAGCTTGGGAATACTCACAGTGACACAAACACACCCAGCCCCCAAGAGGACAAGTGCCACAATATCTGACACCCAAACAAAGTCACCAGACGTGCAAAGAAGCAAGAAAACGTGACCTTTAATGAGAGGATGAACCAAAGCCAACTCAGACTTGACAAGATGTTAGCATTAGCAGAAAAGGACATTTAAGACCATTATTACAGCTGTATCCTGTATGGTCAAAAAGCCAAATACAGACACGGAAAGGGAGAGAGAAAAGGATCCAAAGCTGAACTTCCCGAGATGAAAACCACAATGTCTGTGAGGTGAGAAGTGCACCGAGTGGGATGACGGGCACATCAGATGCACAGGAGAGATTGTGAGCTTGAACCCCAAGCAATATATACGTGAAACATGCGGAGAAAAGAGAACGAAAAGAAATGAACAGAGTATTGGTGAGATGGGAGACGACTCCACGCGGCTGAAAGTGTATGTGAATCATATTCACCTAACTGGACATACGGGGGAGGGGCAGAAAAATACTTGAAGAAATTTGGCTGAAAAAATTTGTATTATCTGATGACAACTATACACCCACATCCACGTCACTCAACAAGCCTCACAGAAGTGTGAGGAAAATCACACCGAGGTACAGCTTGATGACACTGCTCCGAGCCAGGCATCAAGAGAAACTCTCAAGAGCAGCAAGAGAAAAAGGGACACTGTTCACACGTAAGAGGAACAAAACCAGGGATGACAGCATGTTTCTCTCCAGGAACAACGCAGTGGGAAGACGCGGACCAATGACCTCAGTGCGCACACTAAGAAGTTATAAAAAGAAAAGCACCTTAAACCCAAAGTAGAAAAAGCAAAGCAAAGAGCGAAATTCAATGATATAGAAAAAACAATGGTGAAAATCAAAGAAACCTAACGTTCTCTGAGAAGATCAACAAAACTGATAGACGTCCAGCCAGACTCAAAAAGGAGAGACACAAGTTACCAGCACCAGGGGTGGAAGAGGCTGGCACTACAGAAGCTGCAGTACTGAAGGATAATAAAGGGATATTCTGAGTAACTTTATGCTAATAAATCTGATACCTCAGATGGGACGGAAAAATGCTTGGAACGATGCAAACCAGCTCAGCTCAGTCAAGAGGACATAATCTGAACAGTCCTGTATCTATTAAAGAAATTGAATTCATAGCTGAAAACCTTCCCACAAAGAAAGTTCCAGGCCCAGCTGGCTTCACTGGTTAATCTGCCAAACATTTAAGGAAAAAATAAAACCACTCTACACACACACTTCCAAACAATGGACAAAGAATGAGTACTTCTCAGTGTATTCTATGAGGCCAGCAGTGCTCTGATATAAAGCTCAAATGAAGACATTAAAAGAAAAAAGAAAGAGAAGCTTGTGTTTATTAGTAGTGAAGATAAAGTTTCCCCTTTTCAAGTAATTTGGGGCTCCTGTACCTTTTCTTCGTAATTTGGTAGTTTATCTTTGCATATGGTTATGATGTCCATCCAGGAGTAGTTTCTCTCTTTTCGGATCTTTTCTAGTTCTGGATCATTCTCAAATTTGTCAGCATCCAGCTAAAAGAGTCAAAACAGAAACCAAAAGGTCACACTGACACAAGGGGACAGAGACATTGTCTCTCTAGATCTCCGATGTGATCACACTCCAATTCATTTTCCAGGCCTTGTCAATCCCAAACTAACTTCCCTTTCCCTCCTTCCCCGTTTCTTTCAAGGGTTTTTCCACTCTCTGTAACATTAAAAGTAATACAATTGTTTAATTCCTCCCTCTCTCCCCCGCAGCCCTCCCTGGGCCAGTCTATCCCGACGACCCCAGTCCCACCGCCAGGGGCCCTGGTGAGGCTCTCATCACCGAGATATCCAGGGGGCCCCGACCCTGTGTCCCGTGCCTCAACACCAACCACCCCGCAGCACTCACCGACCTGCGGCTTCTCTTTGGTCATCTTGCTTCCCTGGGCCAAATGGGCTCCTGGTGCCCCAAGGCTGCCGTCAGCCTGGGAGCGTCCCAGCACTGACCCAGGTACCTTTTCCATCCCTCTGTCCCTGTTCTGTTTTTAAAAATACCTACACTCTAGATCAAATAGGATTGTCTGCTACTCTTCAAAAATACTTGACACTTCACATCCCCACACGGTGCTCCCGACAGAATGCGCCTCACCATCTTTCATCAGCATCCCATCAAGTCTTCAAGGTCTAACCTTGATACCACCGTCAGGAAGCACTCCTGCAGGGCCTGGCCAGATAAGCTCGACTCCTATTTATGCTGGCGATGAACTCAGTGTGCTTTGCCTTATGCTATGCAGCAAAATACCCATCTTACCACGAACCCTGAACAGCAAACCCCAGAATACCTCAAAGCACTAGTCAGCAGTGCATTAATTTCGGCAGAGATGACCCCCAGATGAGCTGAGCCACCACATGGCACGCACACGATTTAACTTCAAAACTGAGTGTGTGTGAGAGTTTTCTATCACTCCACTCTGACTGTGACAATCGGCAAAACTGTTCCGTCTCTTCCCACTGATCAAGAATGGCTATTAGTAAGGAATCATATAAAAATACACAGGATACCAAAGCCACAGAGGAACCGTAATTTAATTTTGATAGCCTTCATCACCCAGAACTAGAAGGTAGGAGAAACTGGGTTGGCTCCATGGAATAACTCAAAAGATGTTTTAAAAAATGTCTTATTTTATCCTTTGAATACATTTTGAAGTTGCCGAGTCTCTCATTCTTGTTCATAAACTGTCAATGCCCAGTGTAACCCCCAAAGTACAGTAATAATTTAACCCTCTGTTTGGACTGCAGATAAATTAGATTTTATGATAAAACCAAACATATTTGCCTCTCATAGTGGACATTATATACCATTTTATTGCTTTGAATAAATAAATAGTACCTTCCAGTAGGTTAAATCTTTGCCCAGGAGAAGATAAATACAGTTGACCCTTGAACACAGATTTGAACTGCGCTGGTATGCTTAGGTATACACATTTTTTTAAATAAATATACTGAAAAACTTTATAGATATTTGCAACAATTTTGAAAAACATTCTTTTCTCTGTCTTACTAGATTACAGGTTTTCAACGGGGGGCTGGGGTGGTGCGGATGGGGAGCGTGCCAATGCCCCGTACTATGAAAAATTAACATACAAAATCAAACTAACCTTCACCCTAGAGAGAAAGGCCTTTCACGGCAAGAGTGCATCAGTGTCGCCTAACTCAGCCGGGCTTTCTCGTCGCCCTAGGACGGTCTCTGAAGATCTGCTAGACTGGAAGTGGGGTGGCCCCGGGGCAGAGCTGTTCGCGCTTGGGTCTGGCCCCGACGGGACACCCACCGGTAAGCACAGGCCGCACAGCAGCCCGGGGCGGCCCGGTCCCTGCCGCCGCGGCGGGCAAGGACCCCTCCCCTGACGGCACGCCCTCCGGGGACCCCGCGCGCCTCGCCAGGGCGGCACCTGCCCCCCGTGAGAAGGCCGGGCGCACTGCGCGGGGCCCGGGACCTGTAGGGGCAAACGCGGGCTCCCACGGGGCGCCCCTGCCGAGCCAGCACAGCGGACCAGGGCTCACCCCGACTCAGAGGCAGGCTCAGCGCCCCCGGGGCCGCAGCCGACCCCGAGTCCGCACGCGGGGCCCGCAGAGCCCGTCCTACGGCCCCTTTCTGTGGGGTGCGGCCGCGGGCGCCCGAATGTCCTTCCCGAGCAGACCCCAGACTCCCCTTCCCAGGTTGCCGGCTTAGGCGCCAACAGCCTGGGGGGACCCCCGCACCCCCCGATCCGCGCCGTCCCAGCAGGGGCCCGGCAGGCCCCGCACCCCTCACACTCTCCCCGCGGCGCTCTGAGGACTCCCCCGCCCCCCCCCCGGCCCAGCTCTGCGCATGCGCAGCGAGCCCGCGTCCACCAGGTTCCCCCGCTGAGCGCGCACGGAGCCCCCGGGCCCCGGGCCCGCGACTGGGCCTGCGCGGCGCCGCTCCCGGCGGCCGCCTACCTTCCAGTAATGCACCCCGAGCCGGCGCAGCTGCTCCAGGCCGACCGCGCGGCTGGGCTCGGCGCGGTGCGGCCGCCTCGGGTCGTCCGCGGACGTGTCCATGTACCAGGCCTGCACCATGGCGGCGCCCCGTTGCCCCGACCCGCACGGCCTCCCGCCTCCGCCCGGCCGGCCGCCCGCCCGTCTGCCCGCGCCTCCCGCAGGCCAGGGAGCCCGGGCCGCTCACGTGCCGCGGGCAGGGCCGCCCGGGGGCGGGGCGGCGCGCGGAGGGGGACGGCCGAGCGGCGGCTTCGGGGCGGCGGGGCGCGGCGGGTGCGCAGCGGGCCCCGTGTCACCGGGGGGCTTACCGAGCCCCTCCCCCCGTCCTCCCGGTTTCTGCAGTGTCGACAGTCTACGAAATCAGACTATAATTTTTTTCTTAAAAGCCGCCTTATTGAGGTATAGTTTATATACAATACAGTACATCCGCATTAGGTATACATTCGATGAGTTTTGACAGCTGTGTACCCGGGAACCCACCACCGCAGCCAGGGTGCACCTCACATCACCCTGAAAGTTCCCTGGCGCCCCTTTGCAACCAACCCCCCCCCCCCCCCCAGCCTGGGCCGCCGCTGACCCGCCTCCTGTCCCTATAGGTCAGATTTGCCTTTTTTAGAATCTAATGTAATTCCCTGTGTCTGCGTCGGTGGTTGGCTTTGCTCTAGGTAACGTGCTTATTTGTTTATTATTTTATTATCTTTTTTATTATCAAATGTACGTCACTGTGGCTCAACAGTCCCCCTCCCCCCCACCCCCCTCCCCCTTGGTGACCACTAGTCACTTCTCCGTGTCTGAGTCTAATTCAGCCTATAATTTTAAATTGCCTCCTCTCTCCTCTCATCCCATCCCTTCCCCCATGCAATGTGCTGTGTCCTAGAATAAAAATAAGCTACCCCTTTCAAATCCTTGAATTTCTAATCAGTTTTGCTGATAAGAAAATCCAGCGGTTCAGTTTAGTTTATCTTTTAAATCAATCAACTAAAAAGGATCACATTATCTCAGCCATTCGCCTTAGTCTGTGACAGGGAGTCAAGTAACTGGGACGCGATTCACAGGAGACTGCGGGGAAGGCCGCGCCTCTCCAGGGTGTGGGCCCGACTGCGGAGCTTCCTGACCGCGGCCCAGGAGGCCCACACGCGGGTCCTTGCCTCGGTCCAGGGCCTGCGCGCTCCGTGCCCACGGCCTCAGGGAGCCTGCCTCCCCCAGCCTCTGCGTGCCCACCTGCTGCTCACCCTTCCGGATCCCACCTTAGACCCCGCACCCACTTCTTGGCTGCACCTCATCACAAAGCTTCAGGCACCCCCTCCCCACCCACCTACTCCTCACCCCCACTCCCTGCGGACAGACGCCCTAACAGTGACCCCCGGGCCTCCGGCCTCCGTGGAGCAGCTGTCACCTGCACTTCTGTTCTTACCAGCGGCTCACGACAGCTGCCCCCTCCCTTACCTTCAGCTCACCCCTTACCAACCCCCACCGCCCGACCCAGGTCCTCTGGCTCATCTCCCTGCCGTGACCACAGCACTGTGACCGTCCCAGAACTCTGTGTCCTGTTCTCTCCGCACACACTCTAGGTGCCCTTACCCGCCTGTGACGTTCTGATGACTCCCACACCTCTAAAGCCTGGACCTCCTTGGAGAGCCTGACTTGGTCTGTGTCGGCATCACCACACGTGGCTGATGAGTATCCCAGAGTGAACGCACCGGAACGCTGCTCCTGATGCCCTTGGGTGGGCCGTTGTGTTTCTCCTGGCCTTTCCCAGCTCCCCCCACGGGGCCAGCCAGCCCTGCACCTCAGTCCTGTTTCCTCTCTCCAGCAGCCAGTCAAATTATCAGCTAATCCTGTCGCTTTGACCCTCAAAACACACCACAGAACCACACACTTCTCTCCATCCCAGCTCCTCCCCACTGCCTTTTCTCGCTGAAGGAATTGGGGACTCGAACTGGCCCCAGTTTTCACCTGTGCCGCAGTGCATTCTCCGCTGAGCCCGTGTTTAAAAGCAAACCCCAGCATGCTACCTCTCTGCTTCCCCCATCCTCCTAGCTCGGTCCTGGCTCCGGGGCCCTGTAATCTGGCCCTGGCCACCCCTCCGGGCCCTCTGCTCACCTCGCCGTCCACACACTCTGGCCTAGGGTCGGCCCACGTGCTTCCTTGCCACTGGCCTTTGCCCAGGCAGTATTTCCCCCTTCTCGGCTCTTCCTTTCTCCAAGCACTGCTGCCCCATGCGAACGTCCCTGCCTGGGAGAGGCCCTCTCTGACCCCGACACAGCGGGGGCGCCTCCTGTCCCACACCCCCAGGTACTCCCCTGTAGCAGGTTACTACTGTCCACCTCCTCTCAGGACTGTCAGCCCCAGCGTATGGGTCTTGCTGAACGAGTAAACTTCTGTCGCCAACGACTGCTTGTATCCTGGGACCAGCACGGGTCTTCTTAGTCTTCCAGTCCAGTGTCCAGTGTGCAGACGATTCAAAAAGCTTGCTGGGAGGACATGGATGTGATGCAGAACTGTGCTGACAGCCCACAGCACGGCCATGGCAGCCCCCTGCCCCAATCAGCACTGCTTCTGTCCCGCCTGGAAACTACTGTAGCGCTGTGTGTGATCCGTGTGTGGGCTGTGCGCACCCACGCTCACAAACACCCCATGAGGTGGACACTCTCTCCCACATTGCAAAATAAGATGGGGCAACAGCTACATGAATTGCTCATGGTCATGAGACCAGGGAGCGGATTGGGGTTTGAGCTCAGGGACCCCAGCCCCAAAGCGCGTGGATGTCGCTGCTAAATGTGGGGCAGGCAGTGCCAGGCTGGCCTCACTGGTGGGGGAGTCACTGCCTCTGGGAAGTGACAAGTGCCTCCCCTCCTGTCCCACAAGCACTTCTGTTACCTCCAACTTAATTTAAGCAGATACCTTTTTGTGCTGCCAGGAAGGAGGGAGGGAGGGAGCAGCTTTGTGCCTGGAAAACATACTCTGGGGTGCCCCGGAGAGCTGCCAGGGCACCTGGCACTGCAGCCAAAGTGGAGGAGAGCAGCTGTTACCTTCCCAGGGCCTTTGCTGCCTCTGGGACTCCTCCTCCGAAGGGGCGTCTTTTGAACTTGAACTACTTCCTGCAGAAGAGTAGCCAGCAGCGGCCCAAGGTGTGTTTGTGGCCAGTTTGTCCCCCTGAGCTGGCCACCTGGGAAGCATCTGCTTAGGTGTCTTGACAGACAGACGGGGCCTCACTGCAGACCTGTTATCCAGCCCGGCTTTGAGCAGTGCCCTCAACCCAGGGGTTTCCCAGCAAACCGTCTGGGGACAGGGTAGAGCCCAGAAGGCCCAGAATCGGGCTGCTGGACATGCAAGACATGGACCAGCAGGTGCCCCAGGGGCGGCCGACTCTGCAGGGCCTGAGAGTCAGTCCTGTAGGCTTTATGGGCCGAGAGGCCCAGTCAGGGTCAGGTCTTCAATGACAACCACTCTAAGCCATAAGGGCCATTCTGAGCTGTGGCACAAACAAAAACAGGAAGGAGAATGGGTCGGGCTCACAGCCGGAGTCTGCCAATCCAGCTCTATCTCATTCATAATATTAAAATTTCATCTGATCACCAAGTACTCTATTTGCCGGTCCTGTGGCAAGAGCAGTGAAGGGTCTGAGATTTCACCCCAGCAACAAGCTAACCAGTGAGGCTGTCCTGGGTCGGTGCAGACCGGCGGAAGACCGAGGGCCCCGGGCCAGAGACAAGGCCCAGTGCAGAAGTCAATAGCAGTGGCCAGTGTCCCCACGGGCTCGCCAGCACAGCTCCTTCCAGGGACCCCACGAGGGCTGGATGGCACCTGCGTGCACAGTGCGGCTTCCGGGGAGGGGACCTGGAGCTCAGGGAACCATACCCTTTATTCCACTGGGCAGGAGACACACGTGTGGCTCCAGGAAAGCACTAGCTGCGCCTTCCACGGCCACTCGCTGCACACACATCCTTGGAAGGACAGTGTGGAGAGAAGGACCATCAGGGCCTCCCCCGTGGACGTGCAGGAGTCAGAGACGCACAGAGGCCTGTCTCCTCACGCTCAGGACTCCGCCCTTTCGATTTGCATGTAAGGAACACAGTCTTGGGAAGGTTACAGGGAAGTGTGGGCCCGCCCCAGCCGGTCTTCTGCTCCACGTCCCACAGGCTGCAGTCAGGGTGCTGCCGGGGTGTGTCCTTTCTGAGCTGGGCTCCAGTACTCATTGCCAGAGCCGGCGCTGAGAGTCTGTGCCCCTGGTTCTCTCGCTGGCTGCTGCTGACCAAGAGCTGTTCTTGGGGTTCGGGAGCTGCCCTCAGTCCTTTGCCAAGTGACCCACAACATAGGAACTTAATCCTTTTAGTCAGCAGGAACGTCTTTGTCCGTTTGAACCTCTTCTTCTGGGAAGATCTGATTAATTGAGGCTCACCAAAAGTAATTTCCCTTCTGGTTAACTGAGTTGAGTGATTTGGGCCTGAGTTTCATCCACAGAGCCCTTTCACCCCTGTCGGGTGAGCTGACCCACGGGCGTATCCGCAGCCCCACCACGGCCACGGGTCCCGCGGGGCTGCACACGGAGTGGAGACCTTGGCAGCTGCCTACCACGCTCAGGAATCCACAGGCTGCCCCCTGCACTGACCAGAGACGGGAAATGTCTAGAACGCCTCTACGCTTATTTACCTACCTCCTCTCCGTGTTTCACAATGAGTGAATGTGACTGTTGCATTGGGGTTAAAATTCTTAAATGTGATGGTCAACTAGGAAAACACTTTAAAAGACAGTAAAACAACCTCTACAAAGGCAAAGTAGAACAACCAAAATTTTTATTAAAACATAACATTTCCTTAGGTTTCTAGGTAATGATCACAAAAAGATCAAACATAATTTTTCCTGGAGAGAGGATCCTGCATTCCACTGCAAAGTACTGAGCTCATTGGCGAGGGCTGTCGGTTTCCGTTCCTGCTTCTGCTCCTCCAGCCCCGGGTACCAGATTCCGCACAGAGGCTAAGGAAGCCAGACTTAGGGGGGGAGCAGCAGCTCACGGTGCCTGGGCCCCTGGGGGGAGCCCCGCGAGGGTGCTTCTGCTCTCTCCTCCTGGGAGTCCGTGCAGAGAAGAGAATGAAGCTCCTTTATCATGTGGCAGTAAGTTAAGGTAGGTGGAATCACAGTTTAGGTGGGGAAAGATAAATGAAGGCAAAGGCCAA